AAAACATCGCGGAAAAAACAACGCAAGGCGAAAACGTCGTGGTACAGAACATCGTGGGAGAGACGAAAGCAAAGAATAAACATTACAGTTCTAAAACATCGTGATAAAAAATTAAGCACCTACAAATCATCGCACGACGATGACATCGCACACATGCGTTTTTCAGGTTTTAAAAGCTGTAAATGCATTTTCGATAAAGATTGTTAGCGCAAGAAATGTTAACGACACTTTAAGAATAAACAGAAACAAAACAAGATATAATTTTCATCAAAACAATATCAGGTTAACAAACTTGAAAGAAAGTAATTTGATAATTAACTAAGCAATTTTTATAGAGGTAATCGCATGCAGTTATTTAGCTTCCTTTTTCTAAACAATTTTATGCTGTATTTTTCAAGAAAAATTACGAGTAAAACGCAAGAAAAAAAGTTTAATTTATTAATGACCTTTGATAATTAACTATGCAAATTTAAAATTCCATTAAGCGCTCGCTATAAGTTGCTTTAATTTTCTACTCATTTTCAATTTTTAAATGCTTAAATTTCCTTCTCACTTTTCAGCAAAACTTTATTAGTTCATTCAAAAATATGAAATATAAAAGTAAAAAACACATATTTGCGATGTTATCGTCATGCGATGATTTGTAGGTGCTTTATTTTTTGCCACGATGTTTTCGACGACGATGTTTTTAAACTGCGAAGTTTTTGAAGCGCTTTATTTTCAATGACGATATTTTGTACCACGATGTTTTAGAACTGCGATGTTTTCTCTTTGCTTTCTTTTCTCCCACCATGTTTTGTACCACGACGTTTATGTCTTGCGTTGGTTTCTTCGCGACGTCTTCGTTCGCGATGTGTTCGGAAGACACCTCCATATCACACACGGCGAGAACAACAAAAACGCCCATACAACGAACCCGTTCCCCGGGATTCGAACCCCTGACCGAACTATCAGTATTCAGCAACTTTATAGCTTGGCTGCTGGTGGATTATGAATCAGGAGCAAGCAATCAAGGAGAAAAAGCCAGAACTAGCAAACTTCAAAAGAATCATGTTCCACCACGACAATGCAACGCCTCACACATCCTTAGCAAAACATGCGAAATTATTGGTACTTGACTGGAAAGTAATGTCGTATCTCCATATAGCCCCGATCTTTCACCATCAAATTATTATTTATTTCGAAGTTTACAAAACTTTTTAAATGGTAAAAATTTCAGTAATAACGAAGACTGCAAATCGCATCTTTTTTTTTTTTTTTTTTTTTTCCTGATAAAGACCAGAAGTTCTATAAGCGCGGGGAATCACGAAGTTACCAGAAAGATGGCAAAAGGTCATAGAACAGAATGAAAGATATTTGACTGATTAAAGTGCCCATTTTTTGTACTGAAAAAATTGATTTTTATTTCAGACACACACACACACACACAGAAAAAAAAAAAAAAAAAAAAAAAAAAAAAAACGAAATTACTTTTTTGCCAACTCGATAGTCGCTTTTCCTTCTATACGGATTTTTGAAATATGGCTTATTAATTAATTTAATTTAATTTATAATTTTTTATTAATTTACCTATTTTTTCTTCTTGTCTTGCTAACGAGATGTAACGGCATATGTTTCGGAACGTAAATAAAAATTCGCCTTTCCTTTCTAAAGTGTTGTGCTATAGACTTCTCGTATGGGTCAGGTGTTATTTTTCCTAGATTGTTTGTTTCATTGCTTTCTATTTTATGATCCTTTGTTTCATTATTTTCTAGGTAATATTGCATGCCTACAATAAAGAAGTTAAATATCGGAATTGATAAAAATAGAATAAAAGGTTTAAAAGCACTTTTCGTCGTTTGCTGCCAGAAGCAATTTCCTTGTTATTCTTAACAATCAGACAATAAAGAAAGTGCAACAGATAATGAAAAATTCATGGACATTTTATCTCCGAATCAGATGACAACTTCTGCACATGGCTCTAATGAAGGTTAACTCCACATTATACGAGATCTCTTTCCTTGTCCCTTTATAGACGCTTCAGAAATAAATTATTGCACAATATTACCTAAATTTGATTTTACAAGATATGCAGTAAAATATAATGTACTAAAATTGTAACGAACCATCGCCTTCCCCCGTTCGTGTTCTCGTGGTGAAAGCGGTTCCACGTCCTGATAGCAATCAGATCTATGGCTGGATTCTGGGCAACAGCATAACTGTTTTTCGTATTCCAAGCTCCATTTTTCTATTTTTATATATAAATCTAATTTCTCGAATAGAAGTAGGGAAACTTTTATGTTTATATTAATAAACCAAGTAACTATTAAAAAAGGAAATATTTATTTAACATTTCAAAATCCTGATTTTTTGCGATTTCCTTTGAAATGGATAGTTACAAAAAATCTCTTCTCATAATTACAAAGGCGAATTATGAAAGGTTTCAGATTTTAACTGTAACCCCAAAGGGTTTGTTATGCTTTTTTACGCTCTCACTGAGCTCGCAATCTACCAGTCCGGTGCTACACTAACCCATTTTTAGTCCAAAGGGGCTTTGTCCCTGAGGGGCTATTGTTTTCGTTTTGGGATTTTGCGTCCAATCACTCTGAATGTCCGTTTCCCTTTTCAAACTGTTGCAACCAAATATTATCGTCCTGTATTATATTTGAAGAAATTAAATAATGAAGAATCTGCATAAATGTATGTATGTTTCTCACATTGTGATAAAACAACGGTACCTAGAGCCATCAAATTTTGAATGACGTAATCCTACTGCGAAATTTGAAAAATTTGAAATTTGCTTTATTATCGATTTCATGTTTAGTGAAACTTTAACGAATTTTTGATTAACAAACTCAAGGATTTCAAAGCGAGCAATGACAACGTTGTACAGAAAAAAAACTTTTTATCTCCAGCGCGCGAAACTGTGTATCGGAAATTCTAAAGATAGGCTCAATTTAAAATTATTTTGCGATATTGCTCTTGAACTGAATTTTACGTTTTAAGTGCGAAGAATATGATATTTAATAAATAAAAATAACACACAAAATGTAAAAAAAAAAAAAAAAAAAAAAAAAAAAAAAAAATCTGAAATGTTTCAGATTTTAAATTACGTCCAAAGGGGCGTTTTTTAACATTTTGTGTGTTACCTTTCTTTATTAAATATCATGTTCCTCGCACTTAAACCATAAGATCCAGTGCAGTGCAACAGCAATATCGCAAAATAGTTTTAAAACGAGCATATCTTTAGAATTTCCGATACAGAGACTCACGCGCTGGAGATAAAAATGTTTAAAATGTTTTTCTGCACAACGTTGCCATTGCTCGCTTTGAAATCCTTGAGTTTGTTAATCAAAAATTCGTCAAAGTTTTAAAAAATAGGAAATCGATCATAAAACAAATTTCAAATTTCAAATTTGGTCTTCCACATGCTCATATTCGTTGGAGGATTACGTTATTCAAAATTCGATGACTCTATGTACCGTTGTTTTATCACAATACGAGAAATATACATACATTTATGCAGATTTTTCATTATTTAATTTCTTCAAATATAATGCAGGACTCTAACATTTTGTGGCAACAGTTTGAAAAGTGAACCGACATTTATGAGTCCGACGCAAAATGCCAAAACGAAACTAATAGTCCTTCGGGATTCAAATCCCTTTGGACTAAAACGAAAAAAAAAACTTGCTTTGGACGTAATTTGAAATCTGAAAGCTTTCAGATTTTTTATTTATTTTCCTTTATTTATTTATTTTTATCTTTTTAGCTTTATTATTAAGCATTATTTTCTTCCCACATTTACAGTTCAACAATAAAATTACAAAACATTTTAAAAGCAGCGTAGCATTATGCTTTTAGAATTCCCGATGCAGCGTTAAATGTTGACATGCATTTCTAAGTCTTTTCTCAATTCATCATATGAACGTTCAATTTTCTTACTTTAAAAAATCACTTTAAAAAAAATTTGTCTTTTTATTATTACGTTTTATGCGTTTACTTTATTTATTAGATATATTGGCGCTTACGCGACATAAAATTCGATTCAAAATCAAAACCACAAAGTATTTAAAAACAGCATATCTTTAGAACTTCCGATCGACAGTCTGGCAGGCTAGAGAGTTTCTTTTTTTTTTTTTTTTTCCCCGTATAGTTTCGAGGATTTTTTTTGGGGGGGGAGGGCACTGCTCGCTTTAAAATCGTTGAGTTTGTTAATAAAAAATTCGTTAAATGTTTTATAAAATAGGAAATAGAGAATAAAATAAATCCGAAATTTGGTCTTCCAGGTACCCATGTTCGGGTGGAGGACTACGTTATTTAAAAGTTGTTGCTCTAGGTACCGTTGTTTTATCACAATGCGAGAAACACACATACATTTATGCAGATTCTTCATTATTTAATTCCTTTAAATATAATACAGGGCTATAATATTTGATGGCAACAACTTCAAAAGTGATTCAACGCATTTAAGTGTTCTATTAACTCCCCTTTTGAGCTAAAAATAGCAACCTAAAACTAATTGACAGATAATTAAAAGAAGAAATGTACATTTGAATAATGGGAAATTAGCAATAGGAATTTCAGATTTTTTTTGGAGCATTCATAGTAAAACGATCAAGAATCAAATTACAGTCTTTAATTTACAGAACTAACGGAATCCAAGTTTGTGATGACGTCAGAGGTCAAATAAGCTCACGTACCTATGACGTCACTACGACACTTTTTTTTTTTTTTTTCCCTCTTTTTAATTCATCTCCTGTTACATTAACTCCAACCTTTCTGGCAACACTGCATTACATTGCTTGAAAATACACACAAATTGTTAACAGTAATTTTCTCTCAACTTATAACGTAGGCTATTCCTCTCTCGTGTGTCTTTTTTAACAGTCTACGGATTAAACGTGGACGTAGCCCACGATTGCTCCGATTATTAGAAAATTGACAGTCAATAAACAAATAAAACTTTTTACACATACACGTTACTTTCTAGAGAAAGAAAAAGAAAAGCAGATATTTACATGGCTTTCTCCACTGTAACGACCGGAGACACGAATTTGCAGTTAGAACACAGCACAACATCCCCGAGCATCTTCAGCAGGATTATGTAATTTTTTCTCAGGACCTGACGAAATCGCTATTAATCACGAAAGATTTAACTGACATTCCATTTTCTTTTTCCCTTGTTTAAGCATCCATAAAATCCACGCTCACTCACGGATTCACCGGCGAGGCGAAAAAGTGACACACAGAAGAATAATTCCCGACCAATTTCCTTGGCAATCGGGTCAAGTTCGAGACTCGCATCCAAGAGCAAGCGAGCGGAATCTGTCTCTTCGTCTTGAATTCTCTCGGGCATTTAGCTGCTAAGACGCTCGGAAGAAAATATGATTAAGTGAGTCACGTGTTCTTTTGCCGGCGAGACCTTGCCTTCTGTTTACCCAGCGATGCCTGCTGTTGCCGTTGCTGGGTGGCTACCATAGATATTCAATAAAACACATTCGCCAGTGTGCATGATTACAAAGATAAGTTAAATTTAGGAATTCTACAAAGCGAGGCTCGTATTAATTCTATTGCATTCATGCTTTGTTTCCCCTCAAAGGAGGAACAGGGCTTTCAGTTATATGGACATATCGCATTCCCTCTTCCATGCTTTCGTATTGTAAATGATAGCACGTCCAGCCAGCAGAATCCTGGTTCTAATATTGGGAGGAGGGCAATTGATTTCTCCCGTTTCTTTGCTGCCAAAAACTTAATAATTCTACAGTGGCGTTCGAACTAAAAATGTGAAAGATGATAATTTTTCGCAACCTGGTTTTTCTGGACTGGATTCGGACTCTCACCCGTAAGTGGAAGGATATAAGGAATTATTGCATTCCCCCATGGTGTAACTGGTAACATATATAGTTTGAAATATGAAGATCTGTGATTATGATCCCAACGAAAGCATAGTTCATTTTTCGTATTTCTCGTTCCCTTAAACACCTCATGACTCTACGCATTTAACATAAAACCTCCAGCCCTGGCAAAATAAAACCATTCCAATGGATTCTATGAAACCATTCTTATTGGCTAATTTATGTTTCAGTTTTCAAATTTCAACACTATGATTGGTAAACGCGTAAGTTAATTTCTAATTGGAGAAGTCAAATTTTTTAAACGTAATTTACTGGCAATTAAAACTTGCAAAGTTAGAAATCCGATATCAAAGAAAGTAAAAAATTGTTTTTTTGAATGAATCGAAGAACGTTGTACATTCCTAAAGGTATGATTAAAGGAACTGCTATGGAACTTGCCCACCCGTTAGATCTCAACTCTTTTGTCGGAGACACCGACTACACCGAACGTCGTTTCTCCCGTATTTGGCCCCTTTTGCACATTTATGTTGTTACTATAACATGCCTTAATAGATTAGTCGTCAAGAAATAAAGTACATCCTAATTATCCAGTTGAGGCCCGGTGGCGCAGTGGCTAGCGCATCGCGCAGCAGCACCACAGGTTCGGGGTTCGATTCCCGGGATGGGCAAGGTTGACTCAACCTTTCATCCCTTGATTTCCATTCCTTGGGTTCATAAAATGAGTACCAAGTTCGTTTGGGGACTACGCACTGGGGGTTCTACGACAAGTTGACCACTTGACCATATGCTTACGAACCCCGGGGCCCACGGTCAAGAAAGCAGATTTTGGGCACTGCGGGCCTTGGCCCATTAGGGCTGTTAGCCCATTTAGTTTAATTATCCAGTTATTTGTCGTTTTCCAAAATTACCTCTAGTTACGTCGCAATCTGCATGACTGCTACATCTATTCACCACTTCGGCCATGACTACAAAGATAACTGGTACCTTCCCCCATCCACAATCAAATCATAACTTATAAACACACACGCATTTGTTTATTAACATTTCATCATTACATTCTTTTCTCCTAGGAATTAACTTTTTTTTTTTTTTTTTTGTCAGAGCGACTATATACATATAGGTCACGAGGATAAAGAGATTTGAAATATTGCGATAAAGTAGTAGTCCGATCCACTTCTAGTATATCAGCCCTAATAAGTGCTAGAATTATTTACGAAAAGTAACTTAAACGGGAAAGTAAGCTTACTTCTACCATTAGGAAATTTACCCAATATTACGTCTCAACTTATTTGTTCATTTGTTTTTAATATATGGAAACAGTTGCTGAAAACGTACGCAAAAGCATTCTAAATCTCTGGTCACCAAGAAATCGCCTTGCGAAGAGCAATCGCGGTGCTGAAGAATCAAAATTCTACTTATTATACTCTTCTTCTTTAGAATTTCCCGTGCTAACTCCATTCACATGAAGAAATTTGTAGTAATATCTCCATCCTGCAACAACAACTATTTCCCCGCATACATCTTTCGCCACTTTTGCTCGAACTGAAGTATTATAAAATTATTGAGATGTTTCTGTACTATAGCGGTAACGTTAAAATAAAATTTCCAAGCAGATAATGCATAGAAATAATGAATATGTAACAGAAAAAAGTAAAATGCAACAAACTTACATTTACATTTATTTCTTACACAACTCACAACTTAATTTTTGAACTTTTGCTGTGTCTGCAGCTGTTAATACGGCTTCAAAAATATTATCTTCGTTTCTGGCACCCCATAAATTCCGCTAGATACGCTTGAAGTTGATACTGAGCCATACATACATAGTATTCTTTGAGGAGACAGTCATGATCATGGAATTCATCTATATATTAATTAATGATAGAACTATTTAAGATGCAACGTTAAAACATTAGTTTTGGAAATTGATCTTATGGTAACATTTTAGGAAGTATTTTAAAGTTTGGGAAAAAGTGTTCTCATCTATTAAACGGTGAAAAAAAAAGCCTGTTAAAAATGTACGAATTAACTGTTGACTGGAAGAGTTATGTTGCCCGTGTGAAGTAGTTTCTTCGTGTTCCGGAACTCCAACGGGATTGCAGCTTTCATCACTCCTGTAATTTATATTATTGGCCCAATAAATGTGTATTCTATCTCTTATTCGTGATACTGCATTTTGGTATATCCGCGAAGGAATTCTAATCTTTCGGATTACAGTCTAAAAATATATGTCATTATTGAATAATACAAATTCAAGAGATTTGAGCAAAAAACGCTTCATCTTCTAGAAATCGCTTGAAGAAGTATTAATTAGCATATATGAGAGCAATAAACAGACTGATTATACAGTTTTATATCGGCACAGTTTTCGTGGAATTTCTTTGTTAACTCGCAGTTCGGAAATCAAGACGAACTTAATATATCTTAATTACATGAACTTACTTTACTTACTTTAACTGAAAAATTTAGTTACTAATTCGTTATAGCAAACTAAGAGTCAAAAAAGAAAAAAAAAAAAAAGTATTATCCGACACGAATTTCAATCTAGTCTCTTACTTAAATAGGCACTTCAGGGTCGCAACGACCCTCCCCTCCATTACGGTCGTAATATGTGTCATCATCACGGCTTAAAGGGGTTTAGTTTGTTTTATTTAATTATGACAAAGTACACGAAGGCTCCCTGCGTAAGGGAAGAAATGCTTTTGTGGAGAACTTTCTAAGGGGAACTGGCTATTATCCACGTTATGCTTGGGGAAAATCCTGAAAATTCCCATGCAGCCAGCCCATTCACCTGGAATCGAATCCAAGTCGAACTAGCAGTGTTTAGCGACTCTACTCTTCGGCCGCTGGTAGGCCGCAGAGAAGCATTTAGGCAACTTTAGCAAATTACAGGAAATAACCATTTTTTGCAACAGTCGTTACTATGGATACAATATAAGCTAGAAGGAGAAATGACTATCAAATGCCTATTCTAAAGTAATGGACTATAGTCCATTTCACCAAAAAATTAAGAATTTCAGAAAAGCCGCCGATTTTGTTATCTAGGAACACAGCCTGAGCACTAATTAATGTAATTAAAATACTATTGGTTTATTTGCAAAATTACCTTATAACATTTCTTTCCCGCAAAAGCTTGAATTAAATAATTTAAATGTTTATTATTATACAAATAATTTTAAAAACAATCTTATTATTTGTTGACTTGTTTGTAGAATATAGTTTTCAACATTCATTAAACTAGCATTATCAGAACTGACTTTTCGATATTCGAATCAAACGTCTTGCTTATTAAATATGATAGATAACATCTTGTAAAATACGGATGAATAAATTATTTCACTTTTGGAAAAATTTCTGTACGGCCTACAGGAATGTTATGTTATATATTTTGGTTCATTTCGGAAATTTAAGTTATAAGTTTTCAATATTTTAAGTGATTCTATAATGAAATGGCCCTTGTACTGGCGCATGGCTAATGTCTATTAAATAAAGCACACGGTCATTAAAAAAAATAAATAAATAAAAAAGTTTCTAACAATAAATGGGTGCACCAAAATTTAAAACTGAAGCTTTATTCTTTTCTTTCGCAGTCGCTGTAAATTGTTCTACAAATAACATGATATATTGTTTCTTAAATTTTAAAATAAAAGACAGATGTTATTTCAGCTATAAATAATAATATAAAATAATATGAAAAAGTTTCAGTTTACTGAATTGCACAAAATAAAAGCATTATCAACTCCTCGGAAAGAATACAAATTTCACATTACGGCGTATAGAATTTAAGAACTAAAGACTGCATATTTAAGTAGCTGTTGAATAAAATTTATCAATCTTATTTTTATATGCATATAGCTGTAAAAAAATTTAAATGTTATTTCAATGTTAATAAATAAAAATGCCTAAATATTTGTAGGTATACTGTGAACATTTTGTCAGAAAGACAATGAAATAATGTTTAATTCGCTTCGCATTTCAGCAACTACAAATGTTCAAACAATACAATAAAAATAATAGTAATAAATATATACTACTAATAAATAATTAAACTTACCAACGTGTTAACCTTAACTGTAACCCCTTGCACAGTATGTTCTCATTGTAACGAACACAATCAAAACTCTACATCATTAAAAACTTATTGCCACTCTCAAGTGTAAAAAAATCACTGCACACGATAAGAAACGTCGGGCAAAGCACAGAACTTGCGATCATTTTCCCACGTTTCTAGATAATGAAATGATTTCACTTCATCGTCCTTCGGGAGGAAAACAGCGCCACCATACAAACATTGCTGATGTGACGTCACTTTCGTAGCGTCAAATAAGAGTTAAAAGTAAACAAAATATTTAAAAAAAAATCCTTGTCGTATAGTGGAGGCAGTGGTAACCACAGGTGGTATCATTATAAAGGTTGGGATTCCGGCAACAAATACCTATAAGGAAAGTATTTAATTCACGC